TCCCAATGATTTTTCCTTTGAATCAATGGCTAGTAGTAGTAGTGGAGGTGAAGATCATCATAACATGTTCCTTAGCCTTCAACAAATTGATGAAGATAAAACAAATCATGCATCCGACAAGACAATGAATGTCGTCAGCACATCTACTAATTCTACCAATAATAATGAACCAACTGTGATTGAGTATTCACCCATATCATGTGACGGTTGCCGAGTCAATCACAGAAGATGTGATAGAACGAAACCATCATGTCATGGTTGTAGTTTGAGAGGAATGACATGTAAATATTCAACTAATTACAAAAGAAGAGCGAAACCAGTCATTAATAATAGTATTAAACACGAAGATGTTACAATATTGGATTATTACTTTAGTGGATTTAAAATAATGGAGAGGAAGGAGTTGGAACAATTCTTGATTTCTCATTACAAATCCAATAATTCATCAAGTTATAATAAGGAAATGAATGAAATGGCTGCTTTATATTATTCAATCAAAGCTTCATGTGAATGTCAAATGGGAAATATTGAAAAATCAGAAAAATCAGCCAAACAAGCTAAGGATTATCTTTCAAAAGTGTTCGATTCTCATTCGAGTACTAGAGTAGCCATTACTTATTTGAATATGTGTTTTTATGAATGGTGGTTTGAAAGATTGGACGTTTCCAAATTCTACTTTCAAATTTTATTGTTTTACAAACAAAATTTAATTGTAGAAAATTGCACCACAACAAAACTTCTCATTTCGCTTATCCAAATATTAGAATGTGCGATATTCAATGTAGAGAAGAGTATGGATTTGTATCCACTTTCATTTGAAAGATTTCTTGAAATACTACCAGATACGTTTACTTATTTCATGGATGATTGTAAAGATGAATACAATGATTGTTATCAAATTTTGAAACATCCACATTTGATAGATTCTTCTAATTGCATGGAATTGAATACATTTGTTCAAACACTAATTTCAGAATGTAAGAATTATGAAGATGAAACTTTTGGAAAATCAGATACAATTACAATGTATTATGAAATAATCAAAAATGGAACTACTTTAGGAATATTATCAAAATATGCAACAGTAACACCAATGGTGGAGTTTACTCTTGATAGATGTGCCAAATCCATTGTTAAATTAATTAGTAATCCTAATGTGATAATTCTTCCAATAGAAATTCTAACTCATGTTTCAGTTGCCGCAGAGTATCATTACAAAAAAACTCAGCAACAACAACCTAGTGGAATAGTTTTTCCTAAAGATTCAAGAGTTTCTAACTATGTGGAAATGCTAAAGATTGAATTGAAAACTTACAAATTATTTGCATCACGATACAAGATTGTAAAACGTTATTATTATGAAGGAATTTTCAAAACCATTGATGAATATTTACTTCACCAATCTCAAAACATTTGAAAAGTTCACCATTAATCAATAATATTAAAAATGTCTAACCGCAAAACTAACGATCAATTAGAAACAATAACTCACTCATCACAAATATTATTAATTTCTTATGATGAATTGAATAGTGTGGTGGAATTTCTTCCGATTCATGAAATTCCAAATGTTTTGGTTGTTTGTAGGGAGTGGAATTTACAGTTGGATAAAAGTGAAACATTTTGGAAGATGGTATTTGAAAGATTTTTAATACAACATTTAATTAATTGTTGTAATGCTTTACAAAATGTTTACAAAATTAAAGATACTAACAGTGGAATAATTTACAATCTTGAAAAAACAAAGAATATGAAAGAGAGGATGCAAGTTGTGTATTCTTTGATAAATTCTCTACCCCAACCATCATATTCCAGTAGTGACACTCATTTCCGTCCCATTGTAATATCTAAATTATTGTCACTTGTGAAGAGAAATTTAGAATTGGAAAGAGAAGCAAAGAATTTGAGAATGAAACGAGTAGAAAACAATTTAGAAAATACCCAATTCAAGAAATTAATGAAAAATCAAGTAATTTCCTTCTATTCTGCTGCGGTTCAAAAGTTCATATCCATTGGTGATAGTTTTTATTATTATGATTTGGTGATTTATCAATTTATGCAAGTTTTATTATGTAAGAATATTGAAAGATCTCCATATATGAGACAGTACGTTCCAGAAGAAACGAATTTAATTAGAGAGTGTATTGGAAAGATTATTAGAATGAATCAATATTTGGACTATTCGAAATTGGGGAAATTATTTGAGTTAATACTTGAAGAACTCCCTAAATTGGATCAATTTATTGAATATTCGGATGACTTTATAGAAAAATTATTTACATTTTACAAATTGAAATATCCAATTTCTATTTTATCGATATTATTCAAAAAATATGAATTCTATGAGAAACACATTCCAATGATTACAACAGAAATGATTAAAAATGGAGTTGAAATAGTAGATGTGAAGGATGATTATCTATCATACTGTCTAGGTTTTAAAACCACAGGATTATTTAAGAAAACTAATTATTTTATGAAATGTTTAAATCAATTAATTGGGATGAATCAAATAATTAAGTATTATGAAAATCCATTAAAAGGATTTACCATTTCTCAAACTATTTCCCTTTACAGTACAGGTCAGAAATATCTCAGAACATTCCTTCAAGAATTTCCATTCCCAATTGAAATAGTTTCATTGGAAAATGGAAATATTAGAAATTTATTTAACTTCTTTAAGGTTGCCAGTGAAAGAAATTTCACATTTCCAATGGAACAAGTTAAGGAAGCAATCAAATGCTTGAATTGTGATAATTGTCGAGAAATTCATGAATTAGTTAGATATTTAATGGATAAATATCAATTAACAATTTATGCAATAGAAGAAGAATGTAAATTCTTTGCAAAATTAATGAATGTACTAAGGAAAGACACTGCATTAACATTTAAAGCATTTAATGTATTATTTCCAAACCAGTCAGTATTTGAAATGTCACGTATTTCTGAACATGATCAAACTTTTATTATTAATAATGTTAAAGAGTTAATTATTCAAATTGTAAATAATACTTATCCGTACGAATTTAATTTAATGGATCAATTTTTGAGTAGATTTTCACTTCCAATTATAGATGCCAAACTATTTATTATAATCTATGGAATGCTCGCTCAAAAAGAGGATGCCTTCTCATTTCGAGAATATTTAAATGTTCTCTATAAACATGCTTGGTATGATGTGCATGAAAGGATGAAAGATCATGTAAAGACATTATTGGGAAAGAATAATATTGAAAAGTTTACAGATATTTCCACACCTGAAGATTTTAACAAGTTTGGCATGTCAATTTCAAATAAGGCAAATCAATATTATTGAAATATTTCTATAGAATTCTACTTTCCATTTATTACATCCCTAGTTTAATTAACAGGATTATAAGAATATTTTCTTCTTGTACAACTAAAAATAATTAACATTACAAAAACAGCAATTGTTATCATTACAACTGTTCCAATAACAGATCCAATTACAACAGGTAATTTCCAATAAGGTGAAATATGAACTTTAAATTTAAATTCTGATTCTAAATGTTCTGAAATAAAATAAAATACAATTACTTGTTTTTTAGAATTTCCAATTTCAGAATAAATTTGAGAATCCACACAAAATTTAACTTGATCACCACCTATAATACTATCCATATAAAAAGTATCATTATTTACGGTAGGGAGGATAATATGTTTGGATAATTCTTGTTGTAAACCATAAATTTTCATTCTATTTAAGGAAACAACGCCATCAAAGGCAATACAACTGTCAGATTGTATTTCTGCTTGATAGTATCTTCCTTCTTTTTTCGTAACCTTTCCAGTTATTTGAGATTCATCTTTAATTTTAATTATATTTGTTTCCTGTCTTAATCCCAAAATAGTAATTAACGAATTATTTCTAAAAATCGAATCTCCAATACATTTTAATATTTTACCATCATTGAACGAATAAACTGGTTTAATTATTGTTTTTCCTTTCACGTATCCATTACCATAAGTAGATGCACATTTTAATGAATTTATATCAATATTATATTCTTTTCCATATATATCTTTAAAATTTGTTAAATTTCCAATATTAAAAATTAAAATTGAATTTTCAATATTTAAATTAATATCAAAATATAAATAACTATTTAATATTTTAATATTTTCAAAATTATCAATATCATGACTTAGATCATTTTTATCAATTAAATTATTTTCAATTATTTTAAATTCTCCAAATTTGTCTTGAGATGGAAATGAAAGTGTTAAAAATCTTTGATTTGGAAATTGTAATTCAAATGAAGAAGGATATGATACTTGATTCCATTCATTCAAATTTAAAATTCTTGAATTTGTATTTCCATTTACATGAATTACTATTTTAAAATTTCTATTTATAAAATTAAAAATATTTAATAAATTTAATTCCAAATCAATAGAATTAGATTTAAAATTTAAAACACCAAATTCATCATTATTTAAATAATGATTAAACGTATCATTAATATTTGCAATTGAAACATTTAATTGTCTAGTCATATCAATATTAAATAATCCATATTTAGTATTAAATGTTAAAATTAGTTTATCATTCAATTTTTCATCTTGTTTAATATTAAATTTAATACTAGTTAAAACATTTCCTCGATTTTCCAAAGATGAAAGTGAAAATTCCAAGTTTGAATTTAAAGGTTCATTAAATTTGTAATATAAATTAATTTCATCAAAATTAGTTTCCTTTTTAATATTTTTAAAAGTATATATCGATGATTTACATTCTTTTAATGATCTTTGTGGAGAACATTCACTACTATTGAATGAATAAATTATTCCGAAGTTTGCTTCAAGATTTAAATTTAATTGTTGTGTTTTTATTGGTAAGGATGACATTGGCAATACTAAAATATATTGTTGTAAAGTTAATAGTAAAATCATGGTGATGATTATTGAATAATGATAATAGAACTGTTGTTGTGTCATTTTTTTAATTTGGTTTATTTCACAATGAAAATTCTTTTTGTTCTTTTCACAGTGAGAGAGATAAAGAGTAAAACAGTTGAACAATCCAAAATCAATAGAAATGAATTGAAATGATGAAGCTTCTTCATAGCTGCAAATTGGTATGTGTAAAGAATAAAAACTCATCACTGGTAAATTTCAAGAACTGTCAAGTGTTTCATTTCCTCAAAACATTTAACTCCTTCAATGCTAATGTTATTGCTGGAAATATCAAGATTGGTCAATTGTTTCAATTCGCTAATATATTTAGCACCTTCATCACGAATATTATTGAGAGAAGCAGAAAGAATGGTTAATTGATTCAATTCTGCTATGTATTTAACTCCTTTAGCACCAATTTGATTGACAGAAATATCAAGATTGGTCAATTGTTTCAATTCGCTAATGTATTTTGCACCTTCATCACCAATATTATTACTATAAATATTAAGATTGGTCAATTGGTTCAATTCACTAATGTATTTAGCTCCTTCATCACAAATGTAATTATTATATATAGTAAGACATGTCAATTGTTTCAATTTACCAATATATTTAGCTCCTTCAATACCAATGTTATTGTAGGAAATATTAAGATCGGTCAATTGTTTCATTTCACTAATGTATTTAGCACCTTCAATATCAATATTACTGTAATAAATATTAAGACATGTCAATTGTTTCAATTTACCAATATATTTAGCTCCTTCAATACCAATATTATTGGTGGAAATATTAAGAATGGTTAATTGATTCATTTCCGTTATATGTTCAACTCCTTTAGCACAAATATTACTATTAGAAATATTAAGATTGGTCAATTGTTTCAATTCACTAAGGTATTTAGCTCCTTCATCACCAACTTTGTTGCTACAAATATTAAGATATGATAGTTGTTTCAATTTGATTATATATTTAACTCCTTCAACACCAATATTATTGAAAGCAGTATACAGATAAGTCAATTGTTTCAATGCGCTTAAATGTTTAGCTCCTTCATCGCCAATATTATTGTGATAAATACAAAGAAAGGTTAGTTGTTTCAAATTACCAATATGTTCAACTCCTTCAGCACCAATATTATTGTAAGAAATATCAAGATTGGTCAATTGTTTCAATTCACTGATGTATTTTGCTCCTTCAACACCAATTTTGTTGCTAGAAATATAAAGATGAGTTAATTGTTTCAATTCACTAATATATTTAGCTTCTTCAACACCAATATTATTGTTACAACTAATTAGTTTTGTTAGTGATTTCATCAAGATCAGTTTTTTGTAAGTATCATCATTAAAAGTGGTATTAATCTCTAGAGTTGCAATATTTTGTAAAAATTGGCCATCCATTCCAACTCTTCTTCCACATTCCAATGAAAGATGACGACATGATGATAAAACAACATTCAACCACTGCTTGGACACCAATGCACAATTCATTACAATAAATTTAAAATCATTAAAAAAAGACAAAATTTCATAAATTGTATCATCATTAAAATCTTGTTTCTTCCTTGTTTCCGATAAATTAAGTTGTGGTGAGTGTTTTTCCATTTTTTTGACTATTACCAACGACTTTCTAGTTTGCAGAAAATCAAAAGATCAATTAAATAATTAATGTTTTTTATCGTATTCAGTTTCTAAACCTCGTATTGTTTTTTCTTTAATTTTAGAAACGAGTATTTTTCTCATAAATCTTTCCAAATCAAAATCAACATCCAATAATTTTGATAAAGTTTGAACAATACCATCATATTTCAATTTGAATAAATTCTTTTTAAAAATTCTAATAAAGGCCATACTAACGCTATGAATAACCTTATTTCCTTCAGATAAATATAAATCCCATATTAATACAGCAATATCAAAATGAATTTGAGTTAACATATTTAACATATACCATCTTGTACAAAATGAATTAAATCCAATTCCATCTTCATTTTCAAATGCTTTCATGAATTTTTTCATTTTTTTAGATAAAATATTTGTTAAAACAAATGTTGCCTTATAAACACCTGGTAATCCTGCAAAATACATTTCTTGCATATTGTAATTTTGACCTTCCATAATTGAACAAAATACCCAAAATGCATCTTCTTCATTTAAATACATTAATAACATTGCTGCTATTGATGACATTCCTTGTGTATATCCTAATTTAACATTATAATTACAATATGCTCTTAATATATTAAATAATATAACTTGATATTTTCCATATCTGTGAGCAAACAAACGATGTTCACGAAATTCTCTCTTAATATCAACATCAATTTGTTTTGAATCTTTCATTGTCAATGGTCTTTGCTTAAGATCTGAATAGAGTTTTGAATTTTGTTTTTTTAAAATGTGAGCACGTGTTAAATAGAACCATGCTTCACCACGTACTTCATTTGGAATACCCTTTCTCACTCTCTCTTTAAATTTCTTTGGTAAATATAAATCATCTCCCTTTTCATGATGTTCTCTAATTTCTTTTAACATTTCTTTCCATTTCTTTAAACGTGATTCTTCTTTAATTCTTCTTTTATGCAATTCGTTATAGAGTGTTGGCTGTTTTACAATATCTATTGATACATATTCGGTTATTTTACCATGGTTTGTTGAAATTGTCCATTTGTTTTGTAAATTTGTAACTGGAAATCCAAATCTATCAAATGTTTTGCCTTCTAACGTTTTATCTTCTGTAACAATTCTTTCAATTTTATCATCGTACATTATACAGACATCACCTCCATGTTCACATATTGAATGTGAAATTGCTTCTCTTTCATAAATTGCAGCTAATTGTAATGCTGTATTTCCATTTGCATCCGTTAATTCAAATGCTTTACTACCATTTTGTAAGAGTAAATGGGCTACATTGGCAAAATTCTTTAAAACAGAAATATGAAGAGGTGTTTCTTTCCTCTTATTATATTGATCAATATTCAAAAACTCAAGATCAACATTTTGTCTATCATTATTTTGATTAATCATTCTTTTACATTTACATAATAAACTTGATGTACCTATATGATCTCCATTAATAGCTGCATGAAGTGCTGTATTACCACTTTCCGGTTCAATACTATTTAATGTTAATATTTCTTCCTTGACTATTAACTTGGCAAAAACTCCTCTAGAAAGGAACTTTTGATAGGCTTTTTTATAAACTTCATCAGACAATTCAGTATTGTTATTATCATCAACATTAACATTGCTGTTGCTGCCATTACTAGTAGTAGTAGTAGATGTTATATTAATATTATTATTATTATTAACAATAGTAATACTACTTGTACTACTATTATTACTCGAATTATTATCTAAAAGTTGAGATAACTGGCTAAAGTGAATTAATTTCTTAAAGAGGTCCAATTCCTTTCCTTCCTTTGCATAATTATAAATTTCCATATAAATTGGTAAATCTGTTATTAATATTACTCCATCATGAGTAGTATTATTTAATGTTATTGTTGTATTTGTATTACTATTATTATTATTATTGGTTGCAATATCATTGTGATGATGATTAATAATATTTACTTCTTGATGATCATCATCAGATACTAAATTCAAAGTCTCCGAAACCATAATATCTGAAAGTGGCGTTAAATGAATAGGTTCTATAAAATCAAGTGTATGATGATGATGATGATCTATTGAATAGAGTGGTTTAGTTTCACTATCGTTCTTCTTTGGTGATAGCAAAAGTAGTGGAGACGTTGGAGGTGTTTTTTTGATGGGTGACGTTGAAGCTTCGCTATTAGACAGGTCTTTTGGTGAAGGTGTTTCAATGATTAACGGTTGATTCACCAATGTTTCATAACGATCATTGTGAACGGTTTCTGTTGGTTGACGTAACTTGAATACTAATTCATCATCATCAAACAATTTCATAGTTGAAACATCATCCATAAAGGAAAAGTCATCAATTTTGTCAAGATTTTTAGAATGATAATTAGATGAACTATTATTGCTAGTAAATGTTTGTCTAATAGTATGAGAAGGTGATGCTGGTAACAATATGGAATGATGATGTCTAGGTGATACTAAATAAAAGGCTTGATTAGAAGTTGATGATATGGAGGTGGTAAACGGAGAAGGTAAATGATTTAAGAGGTTTCTTTCGGAGTTGTTTCTTGAGGTCGTTGGTTGAGGGTTTATGTTTCTAGGTGAGGATGGAGGTTGGTGAATAAATGTTTGAGCTTTTGGGCGAGGTATTCTACTTCCTTTGAAAATTGAATCATCATTGTTGGTTTTAGGTTCAAATCTAAGTTTCTTATTGACCAGTGGTGATGAATCTATGAAGGTTTTGGAAGGCTTAGGAATTTTAGACGGCTTTCCACTACCCATTGCATCATACTCTCTCTGTTGCTGATTGAGGCTATTAATCGGAGCTTGATTTTTGTTTGATTTTGTATTAGGATTGGTGATACTCTCCTTGATGTTTGTTGTTGGTTTTTGAGGTGTAGAGGGAGGTGATTTAAATTTAGGAATAGTAAGGATTGGAAGATTTGGTTTTGTACCAGTTGTTGTTGTTGTTGGTTTCTGTTGTTGCAACAACTTTTTGTCAGTGTCTTTTTTCTTTATCGATGAAGTAGATGTTGACGATGAAGGTTTGTTAGAATTACCTGGAACCTTTCTAGTATTATTCATGCTTTATAAAACTATTATTAAGGAGACAACTCTAGTGAGCAGGAGGTTGTGGTGAATTTAGAATCAAATCTTTTTTTTACAGTGATGCTTAGTGATTAATCATAACGGTCATAAACAATTCTTTAATCATAACGTCTATAAGACATGGAAATGAACATTTTGATGTTATTTTAATTTCACAAATAAGGAAGACGAGAACGGATTTTTAAGTTGGTGGGCATTTATTTAAAAATTCATTTGAGATTGAATATGTTGATTAGTCTTAAAATCTAAATACAGTGTAAACAGCACATGTAATGATTCAATTAAGTGACCATCGTAAACTGGAATATCAAGTAAACTACAAATAATTTTTACATATTCTTCCAAATCAACATCCAAATCTGCTCCTGGTAAATCTGTTTTTGCTAACTCTTCTTCGAATGCATCAGGCCAAGCTTGAATAAGTTGAGTAAAATCAACATTGACCTTTGAATAAGTTACAGTTGGTGGTGGTTTCTTCTTGTGAAGCTCCCTAATATCATTAATCCATTTAAGAATTAATTTATCATTTCCAGATTCTACACTCTTAATAATTGTTTCTGGCTTCTTTGCAGCAACAATTCCAGATGAGAGATTGGAAGATTCTGCGGCCGTACTGGAGGTTCTATCTCCCTTCATTTGATATGTTAAGTCTAAAGTTACAACTGTTGGATCTGATTGAGATGGATTTGGTTCATCAATAACCTTCAAACCAAGGTCATCCAATTCATCTTCTTTAAGATCTGGTCTTTTAAGTTTAATGAATGGATCCAGCTCACCCACTGCAGCCATATAATCTGGAATAAATGGTTTTAACTTGGTATCCAATTCAATCTCATGAGGTTTGTATCTATTAATGTAGGTAAATAATTCTTTCAATTCATTAGAGATGTTCATCTTACTAAGAAGCATGTTTGATTCATTGGCATTGTATGCTGGATGTTGAACTGGTCTGGCTCCTGGTCTCATTGCATAGTCATCCTCAGAAGCTTCAGAGTGTTCTTCCTCCGATTCTTCCTCTCCTTCACCTTCGCCTTCTTCTTTCCTCCGATTCTTCTGCTTTTGTTATTTGAACTCTATCTCTTGGTGTATGTTCTGGACTAGGTATAGAATGAACCTCGTCATCATTTGCTATGTACACTTCATCATAATGTTGATTTGAAACAACTTTTCCTTGAGATGAAGAAGGTTTAGAAGGTGGTTTTGATGCAGAATTTCCTCTAACACCAGCACCGCTTCCTCCTCTATTTTCATATCTATTTGAAAGAACAGCACCCTTTGGAGCGTTATTATTATTATTTCCTATGCTAGTGAATTTTCCTGTTGAATTAAGATTTTCTTCTTCATCTGCAGAACCTTCTTCACTTTCCTCTTCAGAGTGTAGACCGAAATCATCATCTTCTCTTCGTTGAGATTGACCTCTTTGAGGCATTCTCTGATCAATGGTTTCTTCCTCTTCTTGTTCTTCTTCATCAGTTTCGTACTCAGTACTTTCACCGTCACTTCCATCGTCCATGCTTGTGTTCATTTTTTTGTAGTTTGTTTTGTAGCATATTGGCGGTTGATGGTAGTTTGGCGCTAAACAACAAGTTCTACTTTGTTTTCATTAACAAGCATACAAAAGTGTTGAACACAAGTAATTCATATCTATATCAAAGATATGAATCAATAAATTTCAAATTCACTTTCATTTTCTCGAAAAAATCCATGACAATAATTATCAAACCATACTCATTGAAAAATAAATATTTAATCATCAAATAATATTTTTTTTAATAAATATTAATTAAAAATGCCACACACTGCCGCTGCTTTTAGACCAGTCTTCTCTACCGCTATCAAACTCAGTATTTTAGGAGTTGTTGGAGGTATCACTGTTGCTTCAATCTTGAACCAAAATGCTATTAGTACTTTGATTGATAACAACATGATGAGAACCAAGGATCTTATTGAATCTAGAAGAATCCGTGTTTATGAGGAAGAAGAAAGAATGAAGCAAAGAAAATTGGAATGGCAATTATTGTCTTACAGTTCTTATGGTAATTGGACAAGAACTAGAAGTCAAGTTAAATTCTTGCAAGATAAGCTTGAACATAAGGAAAGAAATGTTTGGGACGATATGATTCAAGGATTGGACGAAAAGAAATCATCGTAATTTTATTAACAACAACAACAATACATAATATTAACAACAACATCTTTAATTGTAAAAACATAAATTTATTGTTGCGGGCATTGTACATCTCCATCTCTGGGTGGTCTCTCGCTTTTCATTGAAGCAAGTTCCATTTCTTTTGCTCTTTCTTTCTTCAGTATCAAGTCTGGTTTTACATACTTTAAATTCGGAAAGAGTTTACATGTGGTTATTAATAATATGATGTTATTAATTTTGTAATGATGACGAGAGTAGACTTACCGAAATGATGAGGGTATTATTCTCCAATTTAAATGACAAACTTTCATCATTTAATTTAGTTTTTGGTGATTCTTTCATATCTGGTATCGAGAATCGTTTATAATACTTCTTATTAGTTGTACTAATGACAATTTCTTGTTTTTCATGGTCGATATTGACCTTATATACATTAGGTTCATAGAAACAGTTTCTAACTCTCCATTGGAATAATGTGGATGTATCCTTTCTCATAAAAATTGGCTAATTCAAATAGATTAAGGAATATATTCTATAATCAAAATTCCTCAAACTTACATTGACTGTTGATGGAGCAATCAAATCATGAATTGGATTGAAGGATTTAACCTCACCTCCAATTTCAATTGTCCAAGTTCCTTCTCCTAATATTGAAACAGTTCTCCTCTTTCTCAATAATAATTGATTAGTTTGCAAATCAAATTCCTCAACCATTTCCACTCCATTTTCATAGGTTGTATGAAATTTTCTTCTACCATCAGCAACAACACTAGTTGTATATGGATACTTGGTAGTTGAAGGTTCCGATGAAGATGATGTTGTATTCTGATCATCGCCCGTCTTCTTTGATAATAATTCCGATAACATTGTTTTGTGAGGTTAATAAGGCTGTAGACCTATTTTTTTAATTTTAGATTTCAATAACAACAAACTCGCCATACAACACACAAATTTTGTAGTGTTAGCAATGAATTTGATAAGAACAATATATTTTGTAGTCGTTAGTATTTGATACATTAGAAATACAATCAAAGATAACATGGTTTTATCACCATTCAATAAAGTGAATTAATATTAAATAATATAAATAATATAATTCACTCACAAATTCCTTGTAAGCACTCATAAAAGTCAATAATTATTCACTGATATGAAAGAGTTGTAAAAATGGAAAATATTTACGTACTACAAATAAATAATTCATTGATTTCGATCAAAAAGAATTATTAAAAATTAAATAAATTAAATAAATTTATTAATATTTTAAATTAAAATCATCTAGATTTGAATTAATATTCTTTTCATCATAATAAAATTTTACAATATTTTTTAAAATATTATTTGGTTTTTTAATTTTAATAAAACCATTTATAGTATTATTATTTTGATTTAAAATTTGATATTGATTTAAATTATTACTTGTTTTTAAAAATTCCAACCAATTTGGATATTTTAAAACATTCCATCCTTTTATAGATTCAATATTTCCATTTAAAATATTTAAATTATAAATAAAAATTCCAGCATTGGCACTAATAGTTATATTTGGTAATAATTCATCATTTAAATATAAAATAATTTCTTTTAAACCCATTAATCTACATTGTCCTGTTATATAAAATTGATCAATTTCAAAGCCTTGGCTTTCTCCATCATATAATAACCAAGAAAGGCAAAAATCAATTGGAAAATTATTTAAAAATTTAAAATTATTTTTATAATTATTTAAACAATAATTTGAACATTTTAATGAAAATTGTTTAAATTTTTTAATTTCATTACAATTTCCATTTAAATATCTTCCTAATTCAGGTGATTGTGATATTAAATACTTAAATATTTTATCAATTTGTTTAAATCTATTTAAAATTAATTGATAAATATACCAATGTAATGGTAAATTTACTATATAAATACATTTACATATAATATTATCAATTGTATTATTAAAATAAATACTTTCATTAAATACTTCCTTATTTAGATATTTTAATTTATTTTCATAAAATATTTTTGAATATTCAAATTCTAATTCATTTAATAAAATGTAACAATTCTTATTTAGAAATTGTATTTTACTTTCTATTATTTCTAACATGTTTAAATAATCTAATATATTTAACATAATTTCAATTGGTAATTCATTAAATGTTGGTTTTGAATATAATTTTAATTTAGGTTTGGGAATTTCTATTAATTCTCCATTTGTAATTTTAATATAATTGGAAATATAACCATTATTAAAAGTAGTAGTGGATGAGGAGGAATTTGATGAGTAGTTTAAAGATGATGATGCTGATGGAAAATTAATATCAGAGTTAATTTGATCATCTAAATCATGATCGTGATGAGGAAGATTAGAATTAATTTGAAACATTTTGATGATGAGAATTTTAAGATCGGAATAATGATTATTTTTTTTTAAAAGAGAATTTTTTATTAATAGAAAAAGTTACTTCAAGTTGACTGAGGATGAACTGATATTGTAATGAAAACACGTATTTCAAAGTTTTGAATTAATTGGTGGATTTAATAAGGAGAAATTGGGAGAGCAAGTGTGAATACTTATTACACTGGAATACTTGTTAATCTATTGAATCAATAGAAATGATATTAGACTAATATTTTTAACCAATAAAAGGATGGAATAATTGATCATC